CAGTACGCATATTACTTACAATGGGGTTTGAGCAGAGAGTTTGCTCGGAATGAAGCGCAGATGCCGCGTCATCGAAGTCGTGTGTCCCGGAGTCGATGGAGGGCACCCCTCCGACGGGTGCCGAGACGTGAGCCTCCTCGCGGAGGTGTAGTACGCCGAGCCGGTCGGCGACGAAGTCCAGGCTTCCGAAGTGGAAGGCCTGGGATGGCTCGGAGACAGGCGGAGCCCACATCCCAACAGGTGAGAGTGCGGGAAACTCCAGCGAGCCGAAGCGAATCGTATCGCCCGAGCCCGCCACGGCGAGGGTGGCGAAAAAGTGGGCCATCCGATGACCAAAAGGTGTTGAACGTACAACGTCTTCCCCACGGACGGCGCCAACTATCGATACAGAAAGTGACCAACTAGTGAATATTTGTAGTTTTGCCGTACGTTGTGATCGGAGGTGGCCTAGCACTCAATGACACAGGGTTTATACTGGTTCAGGCAACGTGCCCTATGTCCAGTTTGAGTCGGTCAGTGACTTTATTCCTGAGCCTAGGTGCTCGAAGTTTGCAGTGGGGTTACAAACGAGAAGAAGAAAGATGGGGTGTACAAGAGGTCCGGTCGACTCTGGTCGGAAGGGCCGAGAGCGACAGGAGCTACGCTATGAGCTAAGTGTTCAAGCGTGTGCTTGAGGTCCGAACCCGACGGTTCTATGGTTGTGAGCTAGTGAACTTGATCGATGCCGAATAACTAAAAAGACTGAGTTTTTTGGGAGAGAGCGCATCCCCTTTTATAGATGAAGGGGATGGCCTTACAAGTGAGAAGGAGAGAGTACGAATGCTTCTAGCCTTTGTTGCCCACGCCGACGGGCACAGGATGATGGTAGGCGCCCACAACACTGTTGGATATCAGATGCACATGGGAGGTTCCATCGTCCTTGTCTTGGTATGGCAGATGTCGGTACCTGCATACACTGTTGATGTCCAGAGGCATGTGAGGAGTTTCACCATGTGCGCTCGGTATGGTAAATCCCGACGCCCACAACACTGTTGATGCCCAGAGGCGTGCGGGGGAGCCTTACCGTATGGGAGTTTAATGGCGCCCATAATACTGTAGGGGAAATGTAGGCGCCTACAACACTATTTGTGTCAGTGCGGTTGTAGAGTACTGTACCATGCAGGGTATGGTCCCTGGTACCGTGGTTTGACCTGTGCGCCTCGCCTCGCTTTTCTCCGCATGTCTCCTGGTCCCTACCGAGTAGGTGTCCCCGGTCGATTGATCCCAGTCGGCTCTGATCGCGCCAGTCGGAGAAGAGCGGTGAGCATGGGCTGGGCGTATCCCCGGTCAGAGAGTGCGGGGTCGGAGTCGGAAGCGGTGCTTTTGGTTAGGTCTTCTAGTCGAAGAGGCCGTCCGGAGGTAGGCTGTCGACCGGATCGAGCTCTCCGGTCGGAGAGGTGGGCTGGAGCCGGAGAACGGGTGATGTTCCTTCTCGGCCTGACCTTCTGGTCGGAGATTGGATCACTCCTCCGGCCCGGCGCTCAGGTACTTGGGCCGGCCTATGAGTTGCGTGTTGTCTACTTAGGCCGAGCCTTGGCGTGGAAGCCGGTCCCCGAGGGACCCCGGGTTTATGAACCCGACACATTCTTTTGTGGACGGAGAGAGTAACAATGTTAAAACTACCTCGTCATTAGCACTTCTGATATACATGAGTTATCCCGCGTGATCTTTCAAGCAGTTACATGACCTAAACAATAATATAACATAAATATATATATATGATTTTTGCTACCTACATGCGGGCTGGAAGCAGAATACTACTATATGAAAATGTAAGTTATTTATGACAACAGAATTAAGAGAAAACTTAATAAACCATGAAACTCTAAATTAGATATGGTTTGATATTGATGTAACCAATTTGGCAACATCATGAGATCAAAAAAGAAAAAGAAAAAATTGGTAACACCAGTCTCAGCTCTTAAGCGGGCCCGACAAACCTTGCAATCATGTCCCTATATTTGTGCCAGCGGAGGCAAGCAATGCAAATGACGTGCATGGACGTGCCCCCTCTTGCTAGTCGATGCACGCTCGCTCTCTTGCATGGACGTGTCCTTGCTGTTGTGCTTGCTATCATCTTGCTACATCAATCTAACCGCTGCCATTGATTACTGCCATGCTTGCCATCAACTGTCATGCTCCTGCCATCAGGCTTGGTCGCTGGGCCATGGTGGGTTGTGCCACACTTGCTTCTATTGGGCCACAGCGCGAGCCGCTTATCAAGCGACTGCTGGCCTGCTGGGCCATGCCAAATTCATAGCCGCTATCAGGTGCCTTTGCCATGCATTGTATCAGCTATGCCTTCTCTTCGTTCTGTCATGCTCGCCTCGCATCTATAACACAGCCATGCATGCAAACAAGAAAAGTGAAGAGATGTGATCTAAAATACGTGAAGATCTTTCTTCCGGGAAACATCTCCGATCGCATCTATAACACAGCAGTGAAGAGATGTGATCTAAGATACGTGAAGAACCTCAACCACGCACGGGTGTGTGCTGCCATGCTGAAGAAACTCAGTGATGAGGATGGAGGGAGAATGCTGAGATGGCACCGTGTACGTGCGCTTCGCGAGCTTGCAGGGACGACGACGGCGATATATCGAGCGTCGACGAGATGTATGCATGTCGTGTCACGTGTGGCATGGATGGATGCGTGTGCAGCGTATCGGCATATCTCCCGTACGATGGACGAGATGGGACCTCCTTTTATAGGCCAGGGCTAGGGCAGCCACGGCGTATTCGAGCGCCGCCTTAGCTTTGCTCCGTTGAAACGAACAACTCGAGACATGGGGCGTCGGGCGGACGTTGTGGGTATAGAGGCGGGTATGGTTTTTTTGGCATATGAAAAAAACGGAAGGTCTAGCGCCGGACGTTTGGACGGGTTGTCACGTCTGGACGCAGACCCCACGCCCCGCGTTCCGCATCCCGCCCAGCACCAACACCCTCGTCCGTCGCAGGACCCGCACCCCACGCCCACTTGCACCCACACGGGAAAACCCACATGGGTCACGTACGGCTGCGGCAGGCCACTGTTCGCCGGTCACCGGCTGCGTCGAACAACACCCAGATCTACTTTGAAACATTAAGATGAAACATTTACAACATACGTCTGAAACAGATAAAATACTTGAAATATACGTGTATAGGCATAGCAACATATGCAACATCCAGATCTATTTTTGCAACATCCAGTTGAAACACTTTCAACATAAGTATGAAACATATGAAACACTTAAAATATACGCTTGAAACATGTGGGTAGAGCCATAGCAACGTATGCAACATCCAGATAGACACACTGAAAACATACGTCTAAAACATCTAAAACACTTGAAATATAAGCTTGCAACATACATATATTATCATTACAACATATGCAATATTCCAGATCTACTTTTACAACATCCATTTGAAACACTTGAAACAACACCTGTAACACTTGAGACACGGCATCGCCGACGACCACGGTCTATCTGGTGGGGAACTGCGGTAGCCAGCAAGCTCGGATCAGAGAGACATTGAGAGCTACCCAGAGTACACCCAGGCGCAGGCCTCCCCTTCCCGCCACGATGTCTTCGGCCCGCCGTGGTGCATGCCATGACCGCGGTGGTGCGAAGTGGATGGGGGTGCGGCGCGGGGTGCAGAGCACCGGATGAGGGCCGGATGCAGCGCACCTACACTGGAGAAGGCTGCCGGGCCGGAGAAAGCTGCCGAACTGGAGTCCGGTCCTGTGCAGGCGTGGGAGCCGCGTCGGACGGACCCTTGTGCCGTAGCACTATCGATGAAAAAACAGAGGGCGGAAGAGGTCGTGAACGGGAATAGCAAGGAAACACGCGTGTACATAAGTTCCGTCCATGCTGGGTCCATCTGTCAAATTGATATCTAGATGAAAAATCAAAACATATCTAAGGAAGGAGATTTTAGGTGGGCCGGACCCATGATTTGAAACTAGGATAGTCCTAGTAAAAAAATTTCATGTGCAACATGACAAAATTCAAAGAAAAAGTTCGATAAAATGACTATAAATTAACCAAATTAAGATAATACAATTGAAAGGTTCAAAACTTATATAAATTAACCAAACTTATATAAGGTCTTACATAAATAAGAGATTACAATACAAGTTCTAGTTCAAGGCTTTTGCTTCGCGCTTTCTCATTGCCATGAAAGCATGAACTTGGCGGAGATTGGACATAAAAGAAATTCGAAATTTATTTTATAGAAAAATAGTATCAAACAAAGTTTTGGAGTACACCGTTGCGAAGAGCTCGTCAAGACAATCGAAACAGACGTATTATTTGCTATATTAGGAGCTTGGATCCAAAAGATATTAATTTTAAAAGAGAAGTCAACGTCCACTTAGCAAACTCCAGGAGAGCCCAAAAGCACAGCGCCATGCAGCACATGCACTAGGCATCGATACTGGCCAGGCGCGTCCCCATCTGCTTTCCCAGTGGGAGAGAGCCTTCGAACGGCCCAGCCACTCAGGTAAAGCCGCGTGACCCAGGCAGGAGGCCCCGCTTGCTCCCCAGTTTTTCCACGTAGGAGCCCAACAGGCCGTGACTGCGCACACTCCATGACTACGATAACATGGGCTTCTTTCAGTTTTTTATTAGGCCAGATTTTTTATAGGCTAAAGGATTGAAAATGCTGAATACTAAATAAACTTTGGACCAAATTTCAGGTAGTCCTAGACCTCCCTGAACTGCCCTTTGGATCGGAAACTTTTAGGTGAGAGGTATTTTCTAATAAGAATTGCCTTTATCCCCGCCGCTTCGAGGAGAGCAACGTCAAACTGATCCGCGTCGTCGAGACGGTATAAAGGCACGAGGGTTGGTTGGAGTTGCAAGGTAGTACTACTAGCGACCAAGGGCGCCGTATACTAACCACAATCAAGGTTACGGCCAACGGAGTATGTCGCCGGCGGCGGGAGAGAAGGACAGGAGGCAGGGGAGAGTCAAGATGGAGGACGATCCCTTGATCACGCTCAAGGTCCTGGACCTGGAAGGTCGCAGGGTCTACCACACCATGAGGATGAACAACAGGCTGCAAGGCCTCATGGATGCCTATTACAAGAAGGTGGCCGATGTGACCTACGGCAGCGGGACCTTCATGTTCGATGGATCCATCCGGCTGCGGGGCACCAACACGCCGGCCGAGCTCGATCTGAATGATGAAGATGAGATCGAGTTCTTCCCGACCATGATTGGCGGCGGATCGGTCGGTGCGTGATAGGGGTTTAATTTGCGCATGTACTGCCACCACTCGCTATAGTCACCATGTTGCATCATCTTGACATCTTCATATAGTCTTCTATGCATCTGTCAAACTTTTCAAAATCGAATTAAGCAGGAATGCAGTAGTAGTTTATATAGCATCGTTTGGATCTATTTCTTATTCTGTTTATGTTTATAAATTCCTTCTAAGGTTTATCTGGAATTGGGACGTGCGCATTATAATCATCTAATACGTCATATCGCGAATAGTCAGCACGTTTACACTGCTTATCATTATTTTGAAGCATAATCTACGCATTAGGTTTTCATATTTTTCAAAATAGTTGAGAAAATAATGGGGATATAAAATCATATGTGGATTTCATTTGTGTCGGTTCAAGTCTAATCAACTTTTACCTAAAAATCTGTTACTAAAATATCACAATAGATTTCACAAACAATGCTTAGTATTCTCGAACGCTTTTCTATGAAAATCAACACTTCTTTTTTGTGAACATAATTTAAGAAACACACTGTATTTTATTATAAATCGCTGAAGCGATTTGTTCTCCTGTCATGTATGCTATTTCTGATACTAAGGAGCTGGTTTCATCGATCACTGATAGACGCATCACGCATGGGAAGAAACCTAACGGGCTACCGTTTTCTTACATTATTATGTGATGTGACTTTACCTGGTGGAACTGGATTTGGCTGAACCAGGAGGGTATTTGAGGCTAAGCAAAACTAGTGGATGCCGTCTCATTCTGAATAATCGGTGCTGTGAATTGGCAAGGCGACCCCATCACTCAATGTTTATTTCTATCCATTCCCAATATGAAATGGACGAGTCATCAGTAGTTTTCGTCCAAAAATGGTTTTTACCATTGTCGGCTGTGGCCCAAAACAGTAGACTATAATGGGATACTGAGTGTACAGAGGAGATATACAATGCCAGCGAAATTTTTCTTGGATTAGAGAATCATATTGGTTCAGAGTTTTATTCGTCTCTTTTTCTGAATTATTAATGAAAATTGCTTCAGAGTTCTGCTATATGGGTCGCCTTTTCTCTAGAGTTAATGAAAATTGCAGATAATTTCTTGATGAAATCGAAAAAAATTTACACTTCCCTTTGAGTTATGTATAGATCCTTATCTTCTAGTGTCCCAAATGAAGATAGCTCCAAACCTTGATTTGTTCTATAGCCCAGAATACATGTCCAATAATGTTTGCTTCAGGGTATGGTAAGATCATAAGAGCAGCATCCACTGGTTGCTTTGCATGCTTCGGTGTCGAATGCCTGTAAAGTGTTTATCCTTATGTCTAGAGTACAAGATGATTCGTCTTTTCAGAACTATTTGGCATATGCGAAGTAATTATCTGCAATTTTATGCAGTATAGGATGAGCATACTGAAACTTTTCGTTTTTTATAAATACAATGAGGTGGAAATTGGCCAAATAATTGCAGAAAAGAGGACCAATTTTCTATTTTTTTAGCATAAAAGCAGGCGCTCTGCTTTTTTATTCAGTAGGAAGCAAAGTGTACATAATTACAAAGGGACAAAAAGAAAGTTCAAAGAAAAGAAACTACTTGTATGCACTCATCGGGCCGGGCTCCTTTCATCTAATTTAGCTCCTTGTTTGCGGGTCTCAACATTTGTAAGTCTTCTCAAATTGCCTGCCTTGTTGTCTAAAGTGCGCCAACATCCTTTTTTCCATAAATTCTAGGCCACAAACACTATCACAGCAGCTCCCCTCTGCGTCTTGAGCGCTTCCTTGTGGCCGGCGCATATTAGCAGTCCACCACTCTTTGATGTTTCTTATGTTGTGATGTCTTGCTAGGCCTTGTAGATCAGACCGAATTTCCACTTGTCTCCAAAGCCGTTTCGTTTATTTGCAAATTGGGTTGGCTTGGCCTCCTCTCTTGATGATGAGATCCACCGTTGGCAGTTTCCATGGAGAAGGAGCCAGATGAAAAAGCGACATTTTAGCTAACTTTGTTTCGTATTGTATTAATCCTTTGGTGCTCACCCATTGAACCAGTCCTTTGGTGCATATCTACACCTAAAAAATTCCTATGATTATCGTCTGTTGCCCCGCTAGTAATAATCCGAAGTTTAACTAGCGACGTAAACGGACTTCACGCCACCGCCCGACTAACGCGCGTCCAAACTCCAAACTGCTCACGATCCGATCTGTACACGCTACGTACGGCAGGTCGCCGATGGCGGTGCTGACCGAGACGGACTGTGGGCGACGCGGATGACGATCGCCAAGGGCACGGCACGTGGCCTGGCATACCTCCACGATGACACGAGCAACGTGCACGGCAACCTGACGGCCAGCAACGTGCTTCTGGACGAGCAGCACAGGCCCAAGATCTCCGACTTCGGGCTGTCACGACTGATGACGACGGCGGCGAACTTGAACATGCTGGGGGCGGTACCGCGCGCCGGAGCTGTCGAAGCTGAAAAAGACGAGCGCCAGACGGACGTGTACAGCATGGGCGTCATCATCCTGGAGCTGCTGACGGGCAAGTCCCCCGCGGACAGCAACAACGGCATGGACCTGTCGCGGTGAGTGGTGTCCATCGTGGACCAGCGAGGTGGTCGACCTGGAGCTGATGCGCGACGCCGCCGCCGCGGGGACGGCTGGGAACGAGCACACGGACACGCTCAAGGCACGAGGCACGCGAGGTGCTGCGGCAGCTCGAGCAGATCAGGCCCGGCCCCGAGGTGCTGCGTTTCTATGTAAATTCTTCAGTTTGTATAGACAAATGTAGCAGTCTACGGCGAAGGATGGAAAGCAAGGTGCTGCGTTTCTAGGTAATTCTTCAGTTTGTATAGACAAGTGTAGCAGTCTACGGCGAAGGATGGAAAGCAAGCCACATGTGTAACGGGCAGAAAAAATTTACACTCCGTGCAACGCACGGTCATATATCTTATATTCTTAAAATTAAGTTCCTCCTCTCGGACCGGTTTGTTTGCACCGGCATTCCTGCCCAAGGCTTGTTCGGGCTTGCCTACTTATGCCAAATCCATTTTAGTCAAAGTGTACGCTTGAAACCGACCAAATCATGGATGCCAAGACCTCGGAGTGACTTTGCCTGCATGACTCATCGCTAGTTCGACCTCCTCCATTCCAAATGATAAGCCATTCCAACTTTCTTCAAAAATCAAAATATCTTAAGTTTGACTAAAACTATAGAGAGATTATAAAGATTTATGACATCAGATAGGTATACTATAAAAATATAATTAATAAAGAATCTAGTGATATTTATTTAGTATAATAAATGTTATTATTTTATTATATAAACTTGGTCAAACCTAAAATGCTTTGACTCTCTAAAAAAATTTGAATGACAGGATGTAGGGAGCAATTCCCATGTCACCTAACTTATGCCTTTTTCCGTATGAAATTCCATCGAATTCGGTGAATCTTCTCTATTGCCATTTTGATAGTGGGAAAGCTGTCTTGTGATATGTTCGGATTGAAGAGAGAACGGGTTGGAGTAGAGTAGTCAACACTCAACAAACTTTTGTTAGCAACCTTCCTTTCCAGCCGGGAGTTTGGTGCCAACCTTGTCAATGAGAGTTTGTTCTGTCTCTCGCTTGAGTCGACCAATACGTAGAGGGGGACCAAGGTATTTGTAAGGGAATTGGCATACCTTGCCTTGGAATGATTCAGCAAGCTGGTTTCCGCAATGTACAACTAATTTCATATAACTCTGACTTTGACAGATTTGTTCAGTCACTTCTCCAAATGTTTGTAGTATCTACAACAAATTTTTAAGGTCTGCATCAAATAGACGGATAAACATGGCAGCAGCAGCAGCGTAGAGGCAGGTATGCATCCAAATTGAGTCGGATCTGATTGGGCTTAGAAGCCCTCCTTTGTTGCCTTAGTCCATTGCCAATATGAAAAGCATCTTTGTGATAAATTGATAATGGGCCGCCGGTGTTGAATTGGCCTTTCAATTCTCCCATTTAGCAAAACACTTGAAGTGGGTTTTGACCAAATGATAAAGATTAGATCACGCCATCTCTTTCCAAACCCAAGTCATTGTAGTACTTCAGTAAATATTCCCACCTCACACTATCAAAGGCGTTGGTGATGTCTAGCTTGATGAACAACATCAGTGTTTTCACTCTATGAAATGGTTGACCACTCCTTGTAAATACTGGAAGTTGCCTAAGATACCTCTCCCTTTTAATGAATGTGCTCGGTTGGCTAAACTTTTCCCCATGATTTTAGTAACACTGATGCCACGATAAACGATGGCGTGGACATAATATCCATCTCCATGGTAGTCTTCAAGGACCCTCACAAATGCCCATTTTACAACTATAATTTTTCGATCGCAACATTTGGCTGCCACAGTAGACCCAACTGTTCCTGGCGAGCCTCCGCCTTAGGGACACAGTGGAGGAGGGAAGGGGGTGAGGGGGGCAAACGCCCCCTCCCCCTGTTCAACTCATGTTCGAAGAGGACTCTTACGCCTGACCAAATTATAGGTGTGCAATATGCTGGTGCAACAGACTAGTTCTCGTGGTCTAGATGCAGATTCCTCCACAACACAGCTCGGTGAGACGAAGATTGCTCCAGCGACGAGGCTAGGCTGCCGTCTGTCTCTCGTTCTCAGCTATACCACAGCTCTGAAGCTCATGTCAGTGCAAAACCCGATTGCATCATTCTGCTTTATTGGCGAGGCGGTCATTAGCGAGAACCGAGCACCCATGGTGACTAGCTTCTCATTGTGGGGGTTGAACCCGGGTGTCCTTGAACTCCTTAGGCCCAACGTCGTCATGCCCAAACAACATATTTTGGCGGCCTGGCTAGGGAGTTACAAGGTGGATTTGGGTATTTCCATGTCCTGCCCACACATCGCCGATGTCGGCGTGTCGTAGTGTTAATCAATACAAGAAGTACAGTGACTAGACGCCAACCATCATACGTACGGTGCTCACAACAATGACTAGGAGATCCTAGGCAATGGGATCATCAACCATGCCTGTTCGTTTGGCTGTGGCTTGTCGTAAACGATCGTAAATTTTCAGCCAGAATAGTATTTTTCTCTCACATAAACCAACCAGTAGTACTTCTTCACGAATCAGCAACGAAACGAACCAGCCAACCGAACAGGCCGACGGCAATATCAAGGTGGGAAGACGTGATGGGATTTCAGACACATCATCTAGGAGAACAACAAACACGAGTAGAAGCCAATGGAAGAACTGATGACTCCACCACGTAGAAGCGTCACTTCTAGAAGAGCCTGACACGTGTCTCCACCCACCGCAAATCACGTCTAAGTCTATGTATAAAAGCAAATTCCACATTTTTTTTTACATGCAAGCCATCCACATGTTACACTAAATATCAATCATCTCCCGCTAAGTGTCACCTCATCCACTTTGAGAGCTACAACCCCAGATAATCTCTACACCTAAAAAAAACTCTAAAGTAATCATCTATCCGGTGATACCAAAAATGTATATGATCCGGTTAAAAAGACTACCAAATACGTATACTATCCGGTTACAAAAACTACCAAATACGTATACTATCAGTCCATTCGATACGGTCATCTCACGTTAATGTGTTATACTCAAACGAGCTTTTAAATATTATAAAAATCTTATATGCAGGACGATATGTACTTCCAACACAATTACGTTTCAACATAGCCACGACAAGATGTGGTAGAATTAGTATAATGAACACGGTTGTTAAGGTATGAAATAAGATTGTTTCAATTCCATATGAAACTTGAATACTTGGTCAACAACGATAATTGCGTAAAAATGGATTGTTGTGAACATTCAAAACATAAATTATCGTCGTATTATTTTGTTCCCGTGTAACACACGGGCATGATTCTAGTAATTCTAAAAATATTATCAACCATGTTGGCTATCGTTATATTGGGCCCCAGGTACATTTGCGTAAGGAAAATTTTATCACCTTTTTTTAGCAAAACTTCATACAGTAACCGGCGGGCCTGCTTTGCTGCACGGACCAGAAGTCAGCCCAAAACAAACACAGGCTTCCCGAGTTCCCGTCTAATAAAAATACGGCATCCACTGAAAAAGAAAAAAGTCTAATAAAATTATGGCAAAGCTATTGCCGCGTTTCTGAAAAAACAAACACAGGCTTCGACGTCATAATTCTTTACAACTGTTATTTCTTTTTTGCAACGAACAAATAAAACCCCCCACTTTTATCCACGCATGATGGTTAATCGATGATTGATGATTTTGCTTGTTGCTCAATCGATCGATCTGCAGACCAGACGCAAGGAAAGCCAAGCCTCGCCGCCGGGGCGGCGCCACCGCGATGTGGTTCTAACTCCCGCCGCAAACCCAACGCCGATCCACGACCTCAACGTTCCTGTAACCGAGCCATAGCATCCGCCATCACAGCCGTCACTTCCTCCTCCGCTTGCGACCTGGGCAGCGGATGGGGCTCCGGAGGCGGCGATGGTGGCTTCCTGTCGTTGATCTTCTACGCCGGCGTGGCGCGCGCCCACGAAGGGGAGCCGCAGGCCGGGGACTATATTATACACTACTACTACTGCGTTCCTGCTAAATTCAATTTTGAAAAGTTCGACAGATGCATATATAGAAGACTATATTATATATGAAGATGTCAAGATGATACGGCATGATGGTGACTATAGCAAGTAGTGACAGTACATACGCAAATTAAACCCCTATCAGTCTATCACGCACCGACCCATCCGCCGCCGCCAATCATGACCGGGAAGAACTCGATCTCATCTCCATCATTCAGATCGAGCTCCGCCGGCGTGTTGCAGCCCCGCAGACGGACAGAGCCATCGAACATGAAGGTCCCGGTGCCGTAGGTCACGTCGCCGGCCGCCTTCTTGTAATAGGCATCCATGACGCCCTGCAGTTTGTCGCTCATCCTCATGGTGTGGAAGGCCCTGCGACCTTCCTGGTCAAGCACCTTGAGCGTGATCAAGGGATCGTCCTCCGGCTCCGTCTTGACGCTCCCCTGACTCCTGCCCTCCTCTCCCGGCGGCGACATACTCCGGTGCCTCCTTGTATTGTATGTGTGTGAGTGGTTAGTATACGGCCTTGGTAGCTACTCTGGCGCAGTGCTACTGACTTGCAACCCGCAACCCGCAACCCTCGTGCTTTTATAGCTTCTCAGGCGGATCAGTCAGTTCAATAATAAATGGACATTGCTCGATCTCCTCGAAACGACGGAGAGCGTCATTGGAATTTGTTTAGCTAGCTGTTCGGCAATTATTGTAGGCGCAGACTACCAAACGTCAAAATGGCTAGTTGGCTACAGCCCTCGAAACCTCCCGTCAGATTTTTTTAGGCGCAGAATACGAGTATAATACGGTTTGTCGATTGTTAAGCTCATGCAAACGAGGATTTCCTTCCCATTTTCTTCCCGACGGTTGCCACGCTCATGGGCCAATCTGCATGGATACATTGCACGGAGAACCGCTTCAATTTCTCGGCGCCAAAAGATTCCTTTTCCGTTGCGCCTTTCCTTCCCATTCGTCGCGCTGGTGGAGCTTTAATCCCCCTATATATCTTCGAAATGCAAGAGCAGACTGTTCGGTTTCCATCCAAGATAATCTCACCGTGATTTATAGGAGGCACGTAGAGCGGAATGAGATCCTCTGCAGTAAATCTGGGCAAAAATAACTGAGAACCGAACCGAAATAACCGGAACCGAAACCGAAGTAACCGAAACCGAAATATTCGGTTCCAGGTTCTGAAGAACCGAAATTACTACGGTTATTTCGGTTCTAGTGCTCGGTTAACCAAAATACCTGAAATAACCGAACTGATCCCCTCCTCGCTGAGTCGCTGGTCGCTGCCCCGCCTGCCCCACGCCCCTCACATCCCACCCCGCCTGGCCTCCTGCCCCTAAATCCTAATGACCTAATCCCTCCCCAGTCCCCACTCCCAATCCCGCCGCCACCGCTCCCCACTCCCCTCCTCGCTACCCCGCCGGCCACCGCTCCCCACTCCCCGTTGCCCCCAATCCTACCGCTCCCCAATCCCCTCCCCTGCCCGCGAAGGCGCGAAGGCTAGCCGCGGCGGCGGCGCATCACGCGGAGGCGGTGCTCCTCGGCTGCACACGCGTCACGCTGAACCAGCCTTTCAGGCGGCTTGGCCATGGCGCACCCAATCTCCCTTCCCCTCCTTCTCTCAACTCTCAGATCCGGCGGCTCTGCCACTCCGGCATGGCCTCACGGCTCCCTCTCTTTAAATCCGCATCCGACGGCAAACGTGAGATAGGGAGTCGCGCGACGGCGAAGCGAGAGCGAGCAAGCCGTCTGACGGCGAAGCTAAACAAGCGGCGCGTAGCGGCGAAGCGAGGCGGCGGCGGGCCGTAGGCGGTGGTGCGCACCACCAGCAGAGCACGCGGCGCGCCGAGAACAGAGAGACGTGTTTTTTGATCTGTAACCTAGAAATCGATGCTTTGTTCTTCATCGCTGCTGGAATGAGTGATTTGTGTTGCTCGATGTGCGATTCTGTGATTTTTTTTTTCTCTGTTCCTAGCACCTCGGTTAGTTCGGTCATAACCGGAACCGAACTGAATTATCCGAAACCGAATTTGGTCGGTTCCCAGATTTCAAAAGAACCAATCGGTTACTATTTCTTAAGGAACCGAATTTGTCAAAAAACCGAAGAACCGAACCGATCGGTTTCGGTTAACCGAATGCCTAGGGTGACTCTACAGTCAGTGCCAGCGACTCTTCTCTGCTGTCAAGCGTACCTGACCCTTCATTTCAATCGAACGACGACTAGGTCACACCAGACTTCCAAGTGCCCCTTCCTTCGCTGCGCTGGGCCTTGGCCCAACAAGCTCACGGCGCTGCTGGGTTTGTGCGAGATGTTAGAAAATCTTCTGCATTCCTTGTGTGAATGCACAGCAGGTGAAGGTGGCGCTGAAAAGGGCTCCCTGCTGTTGCACTATAGCAGCTGGAGGGGTAGACGCCGAACGGCTCATTTACCGCACTGTAGCCACAGCAGGGGCAGGGGCCAAAGTCAGCCCTGCTATCACATCTAGTAACTGTAGCAGCATGTTTGCTGTACTAGGACTAGATGGATAGAGTTGTATATATAGTTTGTCACTGTAACTCAGTAAAGAGAGTTCAGATTTGCCATCTCCTATACAGAGCGTCGGCCAACGCTGGTGTCTCTGCTATGCGTGTATGCTTCGTTCTTCCTCCCTTCTTCTACCTCTAGCTATAATGTGTGGTCAGACAACGTCTGTCGTGCTCAGTCGTGGTCGGCAAGACTGGTGAGTGGTCGACTCACCTGAGCCAGTGATCTTGTGGGCTAACAAGTGGTATTAGAGCCATACAAGCGCCATCGCCGGACTAACCGCTGGTGATGACGGCGGTTTGGAGATGGGTGACAGCAGTGGCACAGCTGTGGCTGCCCAGCCACGATAGAAAGTCGTTGTTCGCATGGTGCGGGAGGTCAGTAGCACCAGTTGGCCGATGCTGACTCGCACCAACTATGGAGAGTGGTCGGTGACCATGAAGATCAAGCTCAGAGCCCGATGGCTCTGGAATGCTGTTGACAAAGGCACCGATAATAAAGAAGATGGCATGTCAGCGTTGGAGGCTATCCTCGCTGCTATACCGGCATAGTACAGGGAGCCGTTGGGGACGAAGAGCTCTGCTAAGGAGGCGTGGGAGGCTATTGTGGTGATGCGCGTTGGTTCCGACCGCGCAAAGAAGGCGACGGCCCAGCTTCTGAAGCAGGAGTACGCCAACCTCAAGTTCAAGGATTGTGAATCGGTGGAGGACTTCTCCCTCCGCCTACAGACGCTCATCAGCAAGCTGAAGAGCCATGGCCTCACCATCGATGAAGAGGAGGCGTTCTCCAAGTACCTCCACTCCGTGCTGGCAAAGTACATCCAGATCGCTCTCTCCATAGAGACGATGTTGGACTTGTCCACCCTCACCATTGAGGATGTGACAGGTCGTCTGCGGGCGGTGGACGAGCGCCTGGAACAAGCGACAGCAACAAAGGACATCGGTAAACTACTGCTGACAAAGGAGGAGTGGGCTGCTCGGAGGAACTCCAGGGTAGCCTCATCCAGCCGCGGTGGCGATGGCAAGCGCCGCGGCAAGGCTTCTTCGGAGAAGAAGAAGCAGATTGACCCCAACGCCTGCGGCGCTACGGGAAGATAGGCCATTGGGCACGGGAGTGCCCAAATCGCAAGTAGGAGAAGAAGGCTGAGGCTCATCTGGCGCAAGCTGATGATGACGATGAGGCCATTATCCTGATGGCGACGTTCTGTGCACTGCACGACATCGAGGCCGAGGAGAAGGGAGAGGTGACGGCGGTGGAAGGACCTAGGAAGGCCCTAAAGACTGTCAACCTCGACGAACCACGTGTCCAAGTCCATCTCGGACGTCTGGATGACGAGCAAGAGCAGCGGTGGTATCTGGACTCTGGTGCCAGCAACCACATGACGGGCTCCAAGGCAGCCTTCTCTGAGCTCGACGACGATGTTACCGATATGGTGATGTTTGGTGAAGGCTCAAGGGTGTCTATCCGAGGGCGCGGCACCATCATCTTCAGGTGCCAAAACGGGGAGCACCACGCGCTAATAGATGTATATTACATCCTATAGCTATGTTCAAGCATCATCAGCATTAGTTAGCTAGATGAGCACGGTAGCGAGGTACTGTTCAAGGATGGAGTCCTCAAGATCAAGGACCGAGAGCAGCGACTTCTTGCCAAGGTGAAGAGGTCCCTAAACCGGTTGTACCTGCTCGACCTCAAGGTAGAGCAGCCAGTGTGCCTGGCGGCAAGGCACACTAAGGAACCGTGGTTGTGCCATGCCCGGTTCGGACATCTCAGCTTCGACGCGCTTGGTCGACTGGAGAAGATGGTCTGAGGGCTACCCCACATCGAGCATGGAGGCGAGTTGTGTGTCAGCTGCCTGGTCGGGAAGTAGAGGAGGCTACCATTCCCAAATGCGGCCAAGTATTGCGCGGAGGACGCTCTCAAGCTCGTCCACGGTGACCTCTGCGGGCCGATCACGCCAGCCACAAACGGTGGTCGGTGGTAATTTCTCCTGCTCATGGATGATTGCAGTCGCTACATATGGCTACAACTCCTGATGAGCAAGGACGAAGCGGCGGCGGCGATCAAGAAGTTCAAGATGCGCGCGGAGGCCGAGAGCGACAAGAAGCTCCGCGTGCTGAGAACTGATCGAGGCAGCAAATTCATTTCGGTGGAGTTCATTGTGTACTATGCGGATCAGGGTGTGGTGCGCCACCACACCACGCCGTACTCGCCACAACAGAATGGCATGGTGGAGCGATGGAATAAGACGGTGGTCGACATGGCTCGATCCATGATGAAGGCCAAAGGCATGCCGACAAGGTTCTAGGGTGAAGCGGTGACCACGACAGTGTTCATCCTCAACCGCGTTCCCACCAAAGCCCTAACGGGCAAGACACCGTTCGAAGCTTGGTATGGGCACAAGCCGAGCGTGTCTTTCCTCCGGACATTTGGCTGCATCGGCCATGTCAGGAAGACAAAGCCAATCTTCACCAAGCTAGAAGCCAGGAGCACACCGATGTGTTCTTGGGCTACACGGAGGGTACCAAGGCGTACCGACTCTACGACCCACACAGAGACAAGGTACTTGTCTCGCGCGACGTCGTGTTCGATGAGAAGGCGGCTTGGGACTAAAACAGTCCTAGCAGGGGGAAAAGCTAGCGGCTTCACCAGCACCTTCATCGTCGAGCACTTGGTCATCCATGGTGGTGGAGATGCTGGGGAAGAGGTGTCGAGCACTCTGGGAGGGGCGCCGAGCACTTCAGCGATAGAGCCGAGCACTCCTAGGGAGGTGCCGAGCACTCCGAGAGGGGTGCTGAGCGGTCCAGGAGAGGAGCCGAGAGGTCCTATAGTGGTGGCAACCACTCTAGGACAGGTGCTGAGTACTCCCGTAGCGGAGCCGAGCAGTCTTGCAGTGGTGCCAAGCACTCTGGGAGGGGTGCAGACCAGTCCAGGAGTACTGTCGAGCACTAC